TAAATCTCACAGTATAGGTAATTTAAAAATAAAAGAATGGAAAAAAAATGTATAAAATTAATAAGTCTCTAGAGAAATTCACTATGTAATGATAAAGGGTCAGGTGTTACCAATCACCTGTGGAAATAAAGGCCAACAGAGTGGAGAGAGGAAGAACTAAAACCGTCTCAGGGGCTGGGGGTGCAGTTCAGTGAAGCAGCACTTGCCCAACATGGATGAGGCCCGGGTTTGATCCCCAGCAACATAAAGCAACATACCAATCTGTCCCTAGTTGTAGATGACATAATTAGCTACATGGACATTCCCAAGGAACTGACAAGAAACATCCTATAATTAATAAATTATTCAATAAGGTCACAGAATACAAAATAAACATTTAAAAATTAATTTGATTTCTATATACTTGCAATAAACATGTGGACACTGACATTAAAATCGTATTTATTTTTGTTCATTTATAATTGTTCAAAAAATAATGAAAAGCTCAAATGTCAAGCTGGCCAAACACATCTAGGATTTGTAAGCATAAAACTGTATAATGCTGGTGAAAAATCAAAGAAGAGCTCAATAAATAGCTGACTCAACAGCCCATTCATGGGTTGGAAGATCCACCTGGTAAAGGTGTCAATCCTCCTTAAGTTGATATACAGACTTAATTCAATTCTGAACAAAGTGCCATCAAAAGTTTTGTAGAGGGGCTCGGGTGGTGGCTCAGTGGTAGAGTGCTCGCCTGGCATGCATGAGGCACTGGGTTTGATCCTCAGCACCACATAAAAACAAACTAATGTATCCACCTAAAACTAAAGATACATAAATAAATAAATATTGAGTTTTGTAGAAACCAGGCACAGTGGCCCATGCTCGTAATCCCAGTGACTCAGGAGGCTGAGGCAGGAGGATTGAAAGTTCAAAGCCAGCCTCAGCAACTCAGCAAGATCCTATCTCAAAATAAAAAAAAGGGCTGAGGATGTTGCTCAGTGGTTAAGTGCCCCTGGGTTCAATCCCTGGTACCCCCAATCCCCTAAAAAAAAAAAAAAAAGTCTTGTAGATTATTTTAAGATTATATGGAAGGGTAAAAGTACTATCATAGTTAAACAGTTTTGAAAAATAAGAATAAAGCAGGAGCAATCAGGCTACCTGACTTCAAGCCTTAACACATAGCTATAGTGATCAGAACCATAGAGGGACAGACACACGACCAATGGAAGAGAAAAAAACTTGGAATGCACCCACAAAACTATACCCAACTGATTTTGAAAAATATGCAAAAGCAATTTGGTCGTGGAAAGAACCACCTTTAACAAAAGGTACACAAGCACTTGAATATCCACATGCTGACACCAGACGTACAATTCATATAAGGATGAATTGATACATACACACTGGACTTCAAAACTCAAAACTTGCTGAGGATGTGGCTCATGTGATAATGTGCTCACCTGGCATGTGTGGGGTGCTAGGTTCGATCCTCAGCACCACATAAAAATAAAATAAAGACGTTGTGTCCACCGAAAACTGAAAAATAAATACTAAAAAATTCTCTCTTTAAAAAAAAAAAAAACCTCAAAACTTACATTCTCTGAAATATCTTGTCAAGAAGAAAGAAAAGACCCTGAAAGCACAAGAAATCAAACCAAGCATCAATAAATGGGATGCCATTGAGCTAAAAAGCTTCTGCACAGCTAAGGAAACCATTAAGAGCATGAAGAGAGAGTCTACAGATGGGGAATAATCTTTGCCAGCTACTCCTCCCACAGGGGATTAGTATCAAGAATATATAAAGATCTCAAAAAATTAACATAAAAAACCCCCAAATTTCCCAATGCACAAATTATAGCTGTATGTGGTAGTAGCCAAAAGCAAGAAACAACCAAGGTATGCTTTGACAGACAGATAGCTGAACAAATGGTGGCACACTGAAACCAGCAATGGACAGGTACGAACTACCCAGGGAGCAACCTGGCCAGGCCTCCAGGGAACCAGACTCAGAGCAAGAGCCAATCTCAAAAGGTGACACACAGCGATTCCACCCACACAGCACTTGTAATCGACCAAGTTATGAAAATGGAGGTCAGTGGCTGCTGGGCGCCTCAAGGGAGTGCTGGGGGAGGCAGGCGGGTGTGGCTCTCAAAGGGCAACCCAGGGATCACTGTGGTCCCTGGAGTGTTGTCAACACGGACCCTATGGCTGTATCCTGGCTGTGATAACCGTATGCAGCTTTACAAGATGTTATTATTGGAAGAAACTAAGTGAAGAGTACACGAAATGTCTGTCTAATTTCTTACATCTAAATGTAAGTCTAAAGTGATCTTACAATAAAACATTTATTTAAAAAAATACATAGGGGCTGGGGTTGTGGCTCAGTGGTAGAGACTTGTCTGGCACGTGTGAGGCCCCGGGTTCAATCCTCAGCACCACATTAAAAATAAGTAAATAAACAAAATAAAAAATCGTGTCATCTACAACTAAAAAACAAACAAACAAACATACATACATAAGAGCCGGGTAGCACATGCCTGTAATCCCAGCAGGATGATCACAAGTTCCAAGCCAGCCTCAGCAATGGTGAGGTGCTAAGCAACTCAGAGAAACCCTGTCTCAGAATAAAATACAAAATAGGGCTGGGGATGTGGCTCAGTGGTCCAGTGCCCCCGAGTTCAATCCCCAGGACCCAAACAAAACAAAACAAAACAAAACATAGGTACTATTAGGCACACTTTCCAACCATGAGAGAATGGCCAAAGTTCAACTCTAATTAGTGAAAACCAGATGTGATATGTAAAAACTCATCAAGCTGTACACCTAAGAGTAATGCTATTCCTTTCATATAGTTTTATATAAGTTTAAAAAAAGGGGAGGAGTATATCTGAATTAGATGTGGTCCAAAACTAGTTAAAAGTAGGTGTTGGCACATGCCTGTCATCCCAATCGCTAGGGAATCTGAGACAGGAGGATGGCAAATTTCAGGACAGCCTCAGCAACTTAGCGAAACCCTATCTCAAAATAAAAATAGATGGAGACATAGCTCAGGGGTATAAGCACCCTGAGTTCAATCCAAAACCAAAACAAACCAAACAAGCTAGGCTGAAAGATATAGGGTGAGATGGCCAACAGGAAGCTGGACCCAGGTACAGTTCTAAGACCCACCTTCATATAGGAATCATTTACGTCTTCAGGATGGCTCTCCAAGATAAAGGGAGGCCAGAGGATGAGACTGTGAAATGCCCCCTCGGGCCCCGTGTCTCTTTCCTGACATAAACCCTTGGGATCCTGGGAGTGGAAGAGTGCTGGCTTTTGTTTTTGGCATGCTGGGGATCAAATGCCCCTACCACCGACAGACGCCCCTAGTACCGATGAATGACAAGCGCTCGCTGACTCCCCACCCTTCCTCTGAAACTGCTCTGGATTGTCTCTTCCATAACCTTCCTAATTCAGTTCAATGGCACCTTGTCTCTCATCTTTCTTGATGACTACTAATCTTGGTGATTCTGACCCTGATAAGTATCCTCTCCTTCTGGAAATGTCTCCAAATAGACCATCTAAAAATTCCATTTTCCTGTAGCTTTTATGATTGATTGTTCTCTACCCTTACATGCAGATTATCCAAGGATCTACTTTATATAACTTTAGGTTTGTCCTCTGCTCAACTTACCTTTCAGCTCCTCTCCTCTCCCAGGAGGTGGGGCTGAAAGTTCCAACTCTCTGCTTATGCTTTGGCTTGACCAGCAATCCACCCTGAAGCTCTCTAGGAACCCCAAGCCAAGGCATAAGTAGCATACAAAAAACACTCTTGGGCTGGGGTGTGCTGGGTGGAAGAACACTTGTCTTGCAGTTGTGTGAGGCCCTGGGTGGGATTCCCCAGGAGTGCGTATGCATGTGCGCACACACATGCAGACACAAAATAAATAAAGCCTTTTTGAAGATGAATACCAATTCCTAGGATGGAGGAGAAATCAAGGAATAAGACAAACTAAAAACCAAAGGGACTCAGATGTGGTGGCACACACCTGTAATCCCAGTGACTTGGGAGCCCAAGGCAGGAGGGTCACAAATTTAAGGCCAGCCTTAGCAACTTCAAGATTCTGTCTCAAAATAAAAAATTAAAAGGGCTAGGGGGTGTAGCTCAGTGGTAAAATGCTCCTGGGTCAAATCCCCAGTACCCAAATAAATAAATAAACAAATAAGACCAATGGGTAAATGGAGAGAGAGATACTGAATGCACCGGTGACCTAGATAAGAGATGGGTGACCTAGATAAGAGATGCCATGGCCTATGTGGGAGATGGTATCTAAGGGATAAATGAGGCTGCCCTCCCTGAGGACCCTGGGAACCTGACAGAAGCCCAACAGAGTGAGAGTTAAGGATCATTTGGAAAACCAGAAAACTAATGTGAGATTTCTGACTACCCAAAGAAAGGAGTCTATGCATCAAAACTGAACAACACCCATATGCAAGGCTTAATAATAATTAAGATGTCCTCTCTCAGTGTCCTTGAGGGATTGGTTCCAGGATCCCTTGTGGAGTCTAAGGTCCATAGGTGCTCAGCTCAAGTCCCTTATAGAAAAGTGCATAGTATTTGTACATGATCACGCACACCCTCCTGGTATGCTTTGTTATCTCTAGATTACTTACAATACCAAATAGAATCTAAATGCTGTGTAAATAGCATGTTATACTATATCATTTGATGAAAACAAGAAAAAGTTTGTATATGTTCATACAGAGGTATTTTCCTGTACATTTTCTATCCTTAATCTATTGAATTCATAGATGCAGAGACCGCGGATAGTGGGCCAACTCTATTTCTATGTGTAAAAAGCTGGAATCTCTTCAGATCTATATAATTTATACCTTAAGTCCTCACATATTTGGGCAGCAGACTTTGTACAACCCAGGGTGGGAAAGTGGGCAGCTCCACCAGGAAGTCACATCGGGGCAGGTGCCAGGTCAGGGAGCCCCGAGGCTGTGTCCACACAGGAGTCAGCACTGGTTCTACTCACCTGGAATGGAAATCCCTACTTCCTTCTCCTGGCCAAGAAGGAGGTTCCGGATGCAGCAGGACACACTGTCCATGGAGCTGTCCCTGAGGGTCACTGAGGCTGCCACAGTGAACAGGCCTTCCTCGTCAGGACTCCTGGACTCTGACGTGGTCGGGAACTCCTCTCCCTTGGCAGATCTCCACTGCACCTGGGGCTCTGGGTACCAACCCATGGAGGTGCACTCCAGCCGGACCTCGCCACTCTCCTGAACTTCCATGGTGATGTGAGGCTCGGAGCCCAGAGCTGTGGAGGGAGAAGCTGGCTTAATCTCTCAGTGGTGCCTTCTGCAGACTCACAATCCCAGGACTCCAGTGTTTATAAGGAGAAACAGTTACCCGAGAAATCCAGAAGTGGGTACAGCACAACTCATCATTTCAAAGGGACTGAGGTATCAATATAAAATGGCACTTCAGGGCTTGGAAAGTAGCTCAGTGGCAAAGCACTTGCCTCGAAGGCACACAGCTAGTTTGATCCCCAGCGCTGCAAAACAACGAAAGATCATTTCACAGACCTCCTAAGAAAGAGGCCATCTTGGAATCAGACACAAGTCCTGCCCCTGGGGATGATGGTCATTTGAGGCAGCTGCTGAAACGTGGACAGCTGGACAGAAAAACCCCAGAACAGCTCTTCCAGGCAGAGGGAGCAGCAAGAACAGCCCGAGGTGGGCAAGCAGCCTAATTGGGCGGTTCCGGTGGAGAGAAGGGAGCTTTGCCGCTGGAAGAGAAAGCTGAGAGGAGGCAGAACAGGGCTGCTCCGGAGGGTGGCCCAGTGGGGAAGGGAAAACTGTTTCCTGTGCTCTTCTCTGGATGTCTATGGGAGAAGCACTGGGAACCGGGGCAGGAGACATCCTTTGCTGTGATGTTCCAGGGATTCTCTGATTCTTATAACTCTAGAGGGCACAGAAAACACTACAGAGTTTAACAGCAAAGCCATTCAAGAGGCACTTGCTCAAATTTAAAATATATGTAAGAATGTGTATTTCTCTGTCAAGAGAGTTCACACAGTCTGGTGTTCTTAAAATTAGAACAGAGCACGGTGGTGCATGCCTATAATTCCAGCAACCTGGGAAACTAAGGCAGGAGGATTGTTAGTTCAAAGCCAGCCTCAGCAATTTAGGAGGCCTTGTCTCAAAATAAAAATGAAAAGGGCCGGGGATGTGGCTCAATGGTTAAGTGCTCCTGGGTTCAATCCCTGGCAACAACAAAAAGATAAAATTAGGCCTGTGACTTAAGAACAACAGTTTCATCCTGTAGGTTTTAGAAGCAGTTGTCAAGATGATCCTTCTTCACTACACATTAAGCACATGGGCTACATACACTGTTGCCAGCATGGAGCTGAGACCCAGATCTCATTAAGATAGTTTAAATTATTTACAGAGCGGCGTCACCGAAGCAGCCAGAACCTGTCTACTCACCAGCTACTTTCAGATTCACGAAGGCTTCTCCCTGGGCTTGCTTGTCTCTGAAGGAGCACCCATACACCCCTTCATCAGAGGTCCTGATGCGGTGTATCTGCAGGGCCACGCGTCCCTTGGTGATATTGTCTGCACCAGCATCACCGTCCCACGATACTCGGGCATCTGCTCTCCCTCCTGCTCCTGCCTGTCCTGGAGCACCAACACGGCAGGTAAGAAGGTGTTCCGGAACCACCGCAGCTCAGAGTCCTCACCCACGAAAGCTCGGATGGGCTCCTGAGGTCCAAGCACTTCAAAGTGACCTGTTAGAGAATGAGCAGGACCTGCAGGATATGAGAGGTGGGAATCACAGAGTGACAGGAATGAAGCCCTCTTACCATTCCTCTGGCTGCGTCCCAGTGGGGGGTACCTGGGAAGAACCTCTGGGATCGTTGACATCTGCAGGCCAGAGGTGCAAGGGAGCGGGTGCGGAAGGGAGACCTACCTGAGTCCAGCTGGGTCAGCAGCAGGAGCACAATGATGAGCAGACACTTGGGGAGGGAGTTTGGGAGCACTGCCATCTGTGTCCTTTCTGGAATAGCAGGATACTGGTGGCTGCACACCAAGAACAGCTTAGAGATGAATGGTCAGGAGAAAATATGGGCTCCACAGACACTCTGTCCTTCATAGTCACAGTCCTTCTAATCCAGAGTGTGCTGGTCATTTGCATGTGAAGCTCTTGTGCCTCCTCTCCAATGGGGATTTTCAATGCACACCACCTCAGCACCTGCCCAGATGCACCCTAAGTTTGGTCAAGAATGGATAGAACAACAAACTGGATCCCAAAACCATGAAACATAGGCATCATACACCTTGGTGGGTTGCGTATAAATGAACCAAACTTGGAATCAGTACACTTAAAAAACAAAACAAAACAAAAATCAAACCTTCTACACATCGCAGCCTGGAGATCTAGAGAGAGGCCTGCTGGCCCCTCACCCCTGCCAGGAGATCTGGAGAGCCCCCCACCCTCCCACCCTGCCCGGGAAGAGAGCCACCCCACACTGGGGTTCCTTATTCACCAAAGTGTGGCTCCACAGCCCAATATCAGGGTACACATAGGCTTGAGGCTGCCACACCACGAAACCGGGATATCGCTGCTTCTATCAAGGGACAACAATAAGGACCCGGTAAGACATCACCAAGGTCCCTGTGGGCCTGGCTGCACCAGAGGTTTCTCTACTAGGGGTGCTAACAGCTATCCTGTTGCTGAGGTAACAGGGAGTCTTGCATGGGGTGGCCTCTGTCTTGTTTCTCCTCCTAACAGCCAACTTCCTATGATCACCCTCTCACTAGTCATATAATCTAATATCTCCATATTCTCACATCCTACCTCATAAATATCTCAGTCAACTCTCCACACCCCTTCTACCATCAGAAACTGTAAACCATTATGCAAACCTATTGACTACACGGTAGAAGATAACGAACTCATCATTTCTGATTATGGTGACAAAACTGTAAATGTAAAAATAGAAGCTAACTGATATACGGCTGCATGTTGGGCACACTCAGTGCTGTAATATTAATCGCTCCCTTAAAAGTGAGGAATTGGTAACCTGTAGGCACACTATAAGACAATAGGGCAGAAGCTATAATACCTCAGATCTACACTGCAAGAGAGGAAGACTCAAAGACATCATGAAAAAACAAGGGAGGAAAGTGCCCCCAACAAACCAAGATACCTCAACAATAGAATCCATAGATAGCAAAGTAGGTGAAATGTCAGAGAAGGAGTTCAGAATATACATAATTAAAATGATTTGGGAATTAAAGAACGACCTATGTGGGCAGATACAGACAAAAATAGATCACTCCAACAAAGAGACAAGAGAGCAAATACAGGTTGCAAGAGATTACTTCAAGAAAGAGAGAAAGAGAGAAAGATTCTGAAAAAAAGCCAAACAGGAATCCTCAAAATGAAAGAAACAATAAGCCAATTAAAAAACTTAATAGATAGCATCACCAACAGATTAGATCACTTGGAAGATAGGACCTCACACAATGAAGACAAAATATACAATCTTGAAACAAATTTAAGATTTATTAGGATAGAGGAAGGTTCAGAGATTCAAACCAAAGGAATGCATAATCTCTTCAATGAAATAATATAAGAAGGGTGGGGATGTGGCTCAAGTGGTAGTGCGGTAGCGCGCTCACCTGGCATGCGTGGGGCGCTGGGTTTGATCCTCAGCACCACATAAAAAAGTAAAATAAAGATGTTGTATCCACCGAAAACTAAAAAATAAATATTAAAAAATAATAATAATATATGAAAATTTCCTAAGCATGAAGAATGAATTGGGAAATCAAATACAAGAGGCCTAGAGGACACCAAATGTACACAATTACAACAGATCTACACCAAGACATGTTATAATCAAAATGCCTAGTATACAGCCCAAGGATAAAATTTTAAAGGCTACAAGAGAGAAAAACCAGTTTACCTATAAGGGAAGACCAATTCAGATCTCAGCAGACTTTTCAACCCATACTCTCAAAGCCAGGGGATCCTGGAACAACATATACCAAGCTCTAAAAGACAATGGATGCCAACCAAGAATATGAAATAAAAACCTTCCATGATAAACAAAAGCTAAAAGAATTTACAGCAATGAAGCCTGCACAACAGAACATTCTTGGCAAAATATGCCACGACAGGAAATGAAAAACAACAATGAAAATCTGCAAAGGGAAGAACTATAGTAAAAGAAAAGCCAATCAAATGAGAAACCAAGTCAAGCTAATTACCAGAAATAAACAAAAATGACTGGTAATACATATCATGTCTCAACAATAACCCTGAATGTTAATGGCCTAAACTCATCAATCAAAAGACAGACTGAAGAGAATAAAATCATGGCATTTGCAGGTAAATGGATGGCGTTGGAGAAGATAATGCTAGTGAAGTTAGCCAATCCACCCCCCAAAAATGCTGAATGTTTCTCTGATATAAGGAGGCTGACTCATAGTGGGGTAGGGAGGGGGAGCATGGGAGGATTAGATGAATTCTAGATAGGGCAGAGGGGTGGGAGGGAAAGGGAGGGGGCAGGGGACTAGCAGGGACGGTGGAATGTGATGGACATCATTATCCAAAGTACATGTGTGAAAACCGAATTGGGTATCAACATATTTTATACACAGAGATATGAAAAACTGTGGTATATATGTGTAATAAGAATTGTAATGCAAAGAAAAGAAAAGAAAGTACATGTAAAAAATAAAATAAAAACCCAAAAGACATAGACCGGTAGATTGGATTAAAAAAGATCCAACAATATGCTGACTTCAAGAAACGCATCTCATAGGAAGAGATGCCCACAGATTGAAGGTGAAAGGTTGGGATAAAACATATCTGTTGGAGTCCAGCTCCGGCAGGGGGTCTCAGGAGACCAATGAATGGTGAGGGGTCCCCGAAAGGCGGCAGAGAAACAACACAGACACAAAAGTGAAGGTGCTGAATCTGATTCTTTACTTGTGAAGTTAAACATATATACTTTTCATTTTGGCAGGCTCACAGTATTTTGTAGTTACAAAACAGGAAACTTTATTCAAGGAAACAAAATTTTACATATCTACAATTAGTTAAAAAAAATGTATCTTGGCTTATGTATAAGCAAGCATTTTTACTTTCAGTTCGTGTTTTGCTTTGAGCTGCTTCCACTTAGTTAGCTTTTAATAATAGTTAGAAATGTCCCAGACTATTGACCTATACCTTGACTATTCTTTCTTGACTTACTGACTAGAACCGGCGCCGAAGTTATGGCAAGTGGTTAACTTGAAAAGAGAGGCTACTAATTTTAATAAAACAAGAGTAAGAGCATCAAACCATTGTGCACAGGAACAAGAACAAGTTACCCGGTACCAAGCACTAATCTGTCTTCTTAATATTAATTTTTCTTCTCTAGATTTTAATTTAATTTCTCAAAAACTTCCTTGACTGTTTTTCCTACAGGTTTTTTTTTTTTTATTTTTTTATTTTTTATTAAACATTAACAACTTACGTTCCACAGCTGAATCATTGCATCAATTGGGAAAATCATGTTTTTTTCCTTTATGCTTAATGGTCTATGAGACGTTACAATTATACTTATGAACAGAAGTGCAAAAACAAACCATCCCATTCCCAGAAACATGCTGTGCTCCTCCAGAGGATGGACACCTTACACCATCCACCTCAGCAGGGCCTTGCTTTTGCCTGAGTCAGGAGAGGGACGCAGCACTACCATTCACATGGCCTACATAAGCAAGCAGTGTTTCCTTTCCATCCTCGTATCAAATAAAGTAGCCTTCAACCCAAAGTTAATCAAAAGGGATAAAGATGCACATTTTATACTGCTCAAGGGAACCAACCATCAACAAGATATAACAGTTATAAATATATATGCCCCAGACAATGGAGCATCTAAGTTCATCAAAAAAACTCTTCTCAAGTTCAAGAGCCAAATAGACCACTACACAATAATTCTGGGTGACTTTAACACACCTCTTTCACCACTGGATAGATCTTCAAAACAAAAGCTGAACAAAGAAACTAAAGAATTCAATAATATAGTCAATAACTTAGACTTAATTGACATACATAGAGTATATTATCCATCAATGAGAGAATACACTTTCTTACCAGCAGCACATAGATCCTTCTCTAAAACAGACCATATATTATGCCACAAAGCAACTCTTAGTAAATACAAAAAAGTAGAGATACTACCCTGCATTCTATTAGACCACAATGGAATGAAATTAGAAATCAATCTAAAATAAAAGATACTCCAAAACCTGGAGACTAAATTATATGCTACTGAATGAACAAGTGGTTACGAACGATATTAAGGAGGAGATTAAAAAATTCTTAGGGGTAAATGAGAACACCGATATAACATATCGAAATCGCTGGGACACTATGAAGGCAGTTGTAAGAGGAAAGTTCATTGTCGGGTTTCTGTTCTTGCAACTAAAAGGCTCAGGGGTCACTTCAGGTATAACTGGGCTGACTGGGTTGCGCAAAATAACCACACAAGAGGCACAAATACCTTTTTCTTTGGAGTCGCTGTGATGGCTCCTCTAACCTTAAAGGTCCACAGGAAGAGAGAGAGCGAGAGCACGCACTGACCCCTTTTGTAGAGGAGAAGCTATTCAAATGAGGCAAGGGGTCAGGTTTCAGGGGCTGAGTCTATCTTCATGATGTCCACTGTCAGCAGGTTGACTGACACCTGGGTAGGCCACACCCAAGGGCATAGTAAGAGAAGGGGACACACACAAGGCACTTCCATGGAACATTCTATCCTAACAGGGCAAGGGGTTATATTACATAGGAACAGGTGAGCATAGCTCCACCCATGGGGCTGTAGCAAGACACAGTCACTCGAACCCTAGAAGAGCAGGACAGTCTAGCAGCATGGGTGGCTGACCGCCACATCATCCAACATGAGATTGGTCTCCCACAATGGAGTTCATTCCTTCAAAGAAGAAAAAGTCAACAAATAAATGACCTAACATTACATCTCAAATAAAAAGAAAAACAAATCAACACCAAAAGCAGTAGAAGGCAGGAAATAATTAAAATCAGAGTTGAAATCGATGAAATTGACAAATGAAAAAAGTTGATTAAACACAAAACTGGTACTTTGAAAAAATAAATAAAATTGATAAACCATTAGCCATGCTAACAAAGAGAAGGAAAGAGCAAATTTAAATTACTAACATCCATGATTGAAAAAGGAAATATTATGACGGACACTATAGAAATACAGAAGATAATTAGAAATTATTTTGAAACTTTGTACTCTAATAAAATAGAAAATATTGAAGGCATCAACAAATTTCTAGAGGCCCAAATTGAATTTGCCCAAATTGAATCAGGATGACATACACAACTTAAACAGATCAATTTCAAGCAAGAAAATAAGGATGCTATCAGAAGCCTACCAAACAAGAAAAGCCCAGGACCAGATGGATACACAGGTGATGTGTATTCATCAGCTTTAAAGAAGAACTAACACCAATACTTCTCAAACTATTTCATGAAACAGAAAAAGAGGGAGCACTTCCAATACATTCTGTGAGGCCAATATCACTGGGTTTCTAAATCCAGGCAAAGACGCATCAAAGAACCACCTCAGACCAATACCTCTAATGAATGTAGATGCAATAAAATTCTGGCAAATCAAATACAAAAACATATCAAAAAGATAGTGCACTCTGATCAAGTAGGGTTCATCTCAGGGATGCAAGCCTAGTTCAACATACAGAAATCAATGTAATTAATCACATCAATAGACTCAAAGATAAAAATCATATGATCATCTCAATATATGCAGAAAAAGCATTTGATAAAATACAGGATCTATTCATGTTCAAAAATGCTAGAAAAACTAGGGATATCAGGAACATACCTCAACATTATAAAGACTATCTATGCTAAGCCCCAGGCCAACATCATTCTAAATGGAGAAAAATCGAAAGCATTCCCTCTAAAAACTGGAACAAGACAGGTATACCCTCTTTCACCACTTCTATTTAACCTATTTCTTCAAACTCTAGCCAGAGCAATCAGATGAAAGAAATTAAAGGGATACAGATAGGAAAAGAAGAACTCAAATTACCACTATCTGCAGACGATATGATTCTATATCTAGAAGACCCAAAACACTCCACCAGAAATCTCCTAGAATAAATGAATTCAGCAAAGTAGCTGGATATAAAACCAACACCCATAAATCAAAGGCATTTCTGTACATCAGTAACAAATCCTCTGAAAGAGAAACTAGGAAAACCACACCATTTACAATAGCCTCAAAAACAAAACAAAAAAACAAACTTGGGAATAAACTTAACAAAAGAAGTGCAAGACCTGTATAATGAAAACTACAGAAGAACATGAAAGAAATAAGTTCATGAAGACTTTAGAAGTTGGAGAGATCTCCCGTGCTCCTGGAGGCAGAGTTAATGTTGTCACAATGGCCATACTGACAAAAGCACTATACAGATTCAATGCAATACCAATTAAAATCCCAACATCGTACCTCACAGAACTAGAAAAAGGAGTCATGAAATTCATTTGGAAAAATAAGAGAATCAGAATAGCCAAAGCAATCTTTAGCAAGAAGAGTGAAGCAGGAAGCATCACAATACCAGACCTGAAACTATACTACAGAGACGCAGTAACAAAACCAGCTAGTATTAGCACCAAAATAAACATGTAGACCAACGGTGCATAATAGAAGACAGAGACAAACCCACATAAATACATTTATCTCATACTAGACAAAGGTACCCAAAACACACATTGGAGAAAAGATGGCCTCTTCAACAAATGGTGCTGGGAAAACTGGAAATCCATATGAAGCAAAATGAAATTAAAACCCTATCTCTCACCATGCACAAAACTCAAATCAAAGTAGATCAAAGACCTAGGAATTAGACCAGAGACCCTACACCTAATAGAAGAAAAAGTAGGCTCCAATCTTCACCATGTTGGCTTAGGCCCAATGTTCTTAGCAAGACTCCTAAAGCACGAAATAAAATTAAGAATCAATAAATTGGATAGATTCAAGCTAAAAAGCTTCTTCTCAGAAAAATAAACAATCAGTGAGGTGAATAGAGAGCCTACAGAATGGGAGCAAATTTTTACCACATGCACATCAGATACAGCACTAATCTCTAGGATATATAAAGCACTCAATAAACTTAAGACCAAAAAAACAAATAACCCAACTAATAAATGGACCAAGGAACTGAACAGACACTTCTCAGAAGAGGATATACAATCAATCAACAAATATATGAAAAAATGTTCAACATCTCTAGCAATTAGAGAAATGCACATCAACACTAATCGTTCATCTTACTCCAGTCAGAATGGCAGCTATTATGAAGACAAACAACAATAAATGTTGGTGAGAATGTGGGGGAAAAAAGCCACTCATACATTGCTGGTGGGACTGCAAATTGGTAGAGCCAATATGGAAAGCAGTATGGAGATTCCTTGGAAAACTTGGAATGGAACCACCATTTGACCCAGCTATCCCACTCCTCAACTTATACCCCCAAAACTTAAAAACAGCATGAAAGAAGAAGCGACGCGAGACAAATCACCGGAGAAGTTCCACTTTATTACAAAAGGCTGTGGGCTTATATAGGTCTAAGGAGAGGTGGCAGGGCTTAGGTAAATGATGGGTCACCCGTTTATTGGTAAGTTCTTCCAGATGTCAGTTCCGGAGTCCACGAAATTAGTTCTTAGTGGGGCTAAGGTTTCCCGCTAGCGGAATTTGAATATTGGCGCTGGCGGGAGTTTTTGGCACCGGTGGGAAAGGGAGAGGCAGGAAGAGAAGCTCCTCAGGAGCCATGTTGGGGTTTTTTGGGGTGTAGCTGCAGTTATACCTTTTCCCACATTCCTCCCTTTTTGTTTTCTTAGGAACTGGGGCGTCGTTGGTCAGATCTGGCTGCTTCCTGCTGTGCGGGGGCGGCGTGGGATCTAGAAAGGGAAAGTGGAGGAATGTCCGGGGGACAGGTCTGGGGATACCATGGCAACCAGAAATAACACCCAGTGGCTATAGATAGCTACTTCGGTAGGGGTGAAGTCTATAAAAGTTCCTTGAAGCCACAAGTCGTCGATGGCATCGAACCAGTCCTGGATGGAGGAGATTGTTGGTATCAGCCACTGGTCTTGTAACAGAGACTCTAGGAAGTATTGGAAGCGTTGCCTCGACATGGCGTCACCAGCACCTGAAGAAGATCAGAGCGAACAAAAACAGGATGAAGATAAAAATTAAAGCAAAGGTCAGTTTTTGGCAGAAGTTCCATGTTGGGGGACTGACAGAGAAGAGGTCAAGGGCCACAAGGAGGCTTAAAAGGACATAAAGGCTCAAAAATCCAGGATGGCAGGCTAAGAGGTCCTCCGGGCTCGTTGTCTCCCGCTGTCCGATGTCCGTTGTTTTCCATTGTGCCTGGTAGTAAGCTTCAGCACTGAGTGAGCTGTTCTCTTGAAGATGTTGGGGGTTCATCGGTCATCAGAGGCTGGTAGTGCCTAAGCAGAAGCTGGTTGAAAGTTTGATTAGAAATTTTCTGTAATTGGGTTTGAAGGAACTTCGTTATGCAGGGCAAGAGAGGGCAAAAAAGGAGCATCCCAATAAGGGGCCCCAAGAGAGGTAGCAAGTATGTGGCGAGAGAGGATTGGAAGAACCCCGTTATGGGATTAGGGGAGGTGGGTTTGAACAATTGGGTCGACAATTCCTGTAATTTAACAACATTCTTTTATATTAGCCCAGATTCATTAATATAGTAGCAACATTCCTCTCTAAGGAACCGGCACGTACCCCCTTTTTCTGCAGTGAGGAGATCAATCGCCCTTCGGTTCTGTAAAGCCACCTGTGCCAATGAAGTAACCTGCTGCTGCAAGGAGCCCAGAGATTCAGCAGTGGTATCGAGCGCTTCTTGCAGTTTTTGTTGAAGCTCATTGGATGCCCATAGAGAATGACCTATAGCTCCACCAGAGAGTCTGAGACTCGCTACTGAGGTTGTTAATGTGAGGCCTACCAGTACCGGCAGAAAGACTGCCCTAGGGGTGCAGGAAGGTGGTACCAATTGTTGGAATTTGGCGGAAGTGTACAAAAAGACAGCTGAGGAACTACAGTAACCAAGAAACAGGTGCCACAGAATTGGTTGTTGCGGTACTTAAAGACCCGTTACACCAGAGGAAATGTCCAGGTTGCATAAATGCAGGGCTCGATGGGGTGTCATAGTTCAAGGAACAAATGGGTAAGGGATTCATTGTTGGCGGGTGGAAACAGAAGAAAGGGAATGAAGCATTGGTGGAATAAAGTTCCCACAGTGGGATGTGTGCCACGTGTAGGGGTTGTCCTTTCTTTGAGAAATTATAGGTTTTTGCTGAAATATTTCCTGCTGCTAATGGGACTGCTGCTAAAAGTGGACAACTAAGTGAAGCACAGAGGAAGCACTGAGAAGTGGGCACAGAAAGAGGGGTGGAGTTTAATAATCGAAGGGTTTGGTGCATCAAATTAAGCCATGTGGGAGGGGGCCTGAGGGGGTTGAAGGCTCTGAATGCCCTTGGGATGGGCTATCAATAAGATTCTGACTCCTTGATATGCTGGACTACTTGGAAGGCTGCCTTAGGTGGCATTATCAGGGAGCGGGAAACAGTCATCCATCCTGTGGGTTTGGCTGAGGTTGTCCGAGCATAGACAGCAAACTCAACATAGTCCCAGTGTTTGGCCTTGGGGTCAGATATATCTAAAGTATACCATCCACTGTTATCGGATAAAGAGCCCTCATGCCATTTGAGGTAACTAGAAGTCCACCCTTCGGGGTAGCCAAGTGAGTGGTAAGAATAACTATCGCATTCATCATGGAGCCTGCATGACCAATAGGGGCACCCATTATATACCTCAGGCCACCAATGGCAATAGTCTTTGGTTTGATCAAAAAGGAAGCAAATGAAAGGCCAGTTCCAGCTACCGGGAACGAAGGACCTGGAAGGTGACAATATTAGGGACACAGAGGTGCAGTTGTGGATGAAGCAAGTTTTTCCATCAACTGTGCGGACCTTCTGCATGCCATGCTCCGAGTATCGTTCCTGAAGGGTGAATTTGTACATAGTAGGAGGGGGAGGTGAAGACCAGGCCCAACAGAGCACAGAAAACAAGCAAAGAAAGAGAATTAGAGTGTTGGGAGAGCTCATTGTGCCTTCTTTAAGAGGAACTGGGCTGCAGGGAACACCATGTGAGCCGCAATTTAAAGGGATGAGATGGTGTGGAGAACAGGAGTAAAGGGGAGGTTCAGGAGGTGACTCTTGGAGTTCCTCTGGGATGGTCCTGTCAGTAGATGAGACCTCTTGATGGTATGGCTTCAACCTAGAAATGTGAATCCAGGGGGTGAGACGGTTGTCTGGTAAGGAAAGTTTGGCGCGGTGGGGGTACAAAGAATGACCAGATAAGGGCCTTCCCATTTGGGGGCAAGAGGCCCTTTTTCCTCTGGGGTATTATAATAGACTAAACTCCCAGGTGTTAAGGGAGGAGTGTTTGGAGAGGAGACTGGGTCTGGAAGAAGCCAGTCTTGATATTTCCAGAGTTCTGAGCATAGATGAAACAAGAGAGGTAAAGACAAATCTCATGTGAGAGGTCCTTGTGAAACGACCAATCCAGGGGGTATAAGAGGTCTTCCTATATTATCTCAAAGGGAGACAGTAGAGATGGTTTCTTAGAGAAAGCTCTGATCCAAAGCAAAGCCAAGGGAAGGAGCTTGACCCAGTCTAAGTTTAATTCCATAGTTAATTTGGTGAGAGCCTCCTTCAGGGTCCGATTTACTCTTTCCACTTTTCCTGAAGCCTGGAGGCGATATGGACAGTGGAAATGCCACTTGAAGGAGAGGGCTTGAGAGACCCTTTGTGTGATCCTAGAGATAAACTCAGGGCCATTGTCGGATTGTAGGGAAGTGGGCATAGCAAACCTGGGGATGATGTCTGTCAGCAAGATTGAAGCTACAGAGGAAGCCTTTTTATTGGAAGTGGGAAATGCCAACCAGAGAAAGTGTCCACAAAGACAGGCATGTTGGTGAAGTCTACCTGCCAGTCAGCAGCAGGAACATGTCCTGGGCTTGGTGGGAGGGAAACGGTTTAGGCCTTAAAGGAGTATAAGGGTTGGTCCGCTGACAGATCTGACAATTAGAGGCTATATTCTGTAGCATGGCTTTGTCAGAGGGGGTGAGGGAGAAGAAGCTCTGTAAAAAGAGGGTCAAAGACTGAGAATTGGAATAGAATAGAGTATGGAGGAACTCAAAAAGGTCCTTGTTCTTACTGGAAGAAGTAGGGGCTTCAGATGGACAGTCTAAAGTGGCCATTATATGTCCCCCAGAGGGGGTCATAATTGGAAGTGGTAGCAGCCGTCCGTGCCGCCCGGTCAGCTTTGGCATTGCCCTCAGTGATAAGAGAGCCGTCCTTCTGATGGGACCTACAATGGACAACTCCCAACTGGGTATTTGGGAAGCCTCTATCAGATTGGTTATAAGAGCCGAATTAGTGATGGCATTACCTTTGGTGGTAAGTAGACCTCGCTCCTTTCATATTGCAACATGGGATAATAGAATATGGAAGACATATTTTGAGTTAGTATAAAGGGTGAGGGATTTGTCCTGCGCAAAAAGGTAGGCACGAGTGGCTGCTACAAGTTCGGCCTGTTGGTTAGTGGTTCCTGAAGGCAGAGCTTTGGCTTCTATAATCTCAGTGGCCAAAACTTCGGCGTATCCAGAGTAATGAGTGCCGTTCTGCCTAAAGGAACTGCCGTCAGTGAACCACATAAGGTCGGCCTTGGTGAGTGGTCCCTCAGAAATGGAAGAATGACAGGGGAGGAAATCATCCAAGGTTTCCAAGCAATTATGAACTGGTGCGTCAGGTGTGGAGGTCATTGGGAGCAGGGAGGCCGGGTTCAGTGCAGGGCAGGGGAGGAACGTAATATTGGGGTTTTCCAGAAAGGAAGTGAGGAGCGACAGAACACTGGATGGTGGAAGGGTTTGAAGGCCCTTATAAGCTAAAAGATCCTTCAAATGATGTGGGGAGTGGATAGTTAAAGGGGCCCCGAAAGTCAGCTTAGAGGCTTCTTTGTGTAAGATTTGTCCAGCAGCCAGAGCTCTTAAGCAAGGGGCCCACCCACGGATGGTAGGATCTAATTCCTTGGACAGATATACCACAGGTGCAAATGTAGGCCCATAAGTTTGGCCCAAAACCCCAAGTGCCTGTTCCCCCTTTTCATAGACATATAGATGAAATGGTCTTGAAAGATCGGGAAGGTGAAGGGCAGGTGCCTTTAAGAGGAGTTGTTGAAGTCTGCGAAAGTGGTAGCGGGGGGAGGAGGCAAGAGGTTCACTAGGGGGTCCCTTTGCTAGGTCATACAGGAGTTTGGCTAGAAGAGAATGATTTGGGATCCAGGCCCTAAAATACCCTGCTAGTCCTAGGAATGATAGTATTTCGGCTTTCATACGAGGTACCAGAAGATTAGAGAGGAGTTGCCTCCTATCCAATGTTATTTCCTTTTTTCCCAGTGCAAGGCAAAAACCAAGGTAGGTGACAGTAGACTGGGAAACCTGGGCCTTGTGGGGAGATACCCTATATCCCTTATCTGCTAGGAAATTGGGCGGTGTGGGATTGAGACTGTTTCCAAGAAGGACTACATAAAAGAAGATCATCGACATGTTGAAGGAGGGTAGAGTCAGGACAGGTAGGGTGGAAAGATGTGAGGTCCTGGGCAAGGACTTGGCCAAAGAGATGGGGACTATCCCTGCGGAAGGACGGTCCAGGTAAGCTGACGAGAACGGCGGGTGTGAGGATCAGTCCATGTAAAAGCAAAGATATCTTGAGATTCTGAAGACAAGGGAATGGAAAAGAAGGCATCCTTTAAATCTAGGACTGAGAAGTGGGTAGTAGTAGCAGGGATCTGAGAGAGAAGGGTGTAGGGGTTGGGCACTAGTGGGTGAATGGGAACCACAGAGGAGTTGACGAGGCAAAGGTCTCGGACCAGTCTGTAGGACCCGTTAGGTTTCCTAACTGCCAGAATGGGGGTGTTGAAAGGAGAGTGTGTAGGCCTAAGATACCCCTTCTGTAATAAATCCTGGATGATCGGTTCTAATCCGAGGAGGGCTGTGGTTGTAAGTGGATATTGTGGTTGATTAATATATCTTGAAGGGTCCCGTAAGACAATATGAATAGGACTGCACTT